TATCAATAGTACAGTTATTTGTCCATATAAGTCTAAGTTGCATTGCATCTAAATGAGGACCTGATATTTCATGAGAAATTATTTTTTGGGACAAATGCTGCCAATCATCAATGCCTTCAACCCATTCTGACTTAAAATTTCGATGATTGTAATCTACAAAAAGCCAGCACGTTTCACAGTATACTTTATCTAATTCTACAGAGTAACAGAGCCAAAGACGGGGAATTAAAACACCAGTTTTAGTTTTCATATTGTAATAGTCGACTGAAAAATTTTCTATTATTGCCATGTATAATTCTATAGGGAAACTGTATTAACGGTCTACAAGGCCCATAAGTCAAAATGGTTCGTTTAAGTTTGCTGTCTATTATAGGTCCTTTAAAATGTCCTCTATCAGTCGGATAATCTAACTTCAAATTTAACTCTAAATGTAAAAAAAAAAAAATAAAAATAGTTAGGTACCTACTTTGTATTTTGTAAATAATAAATTATTTAATGTACCAGACATTTAAAAACATCAGTTTTTATTAGTTAAGTAGCTATTTTATTTTAATGAAGTAAAATGTTTGACAAAACTAACCCTGAGGACTAGTTGATTGCACTTCTAATGTACATGATTCAGTAGATTTACCAGCTATAATTCTGTCTTGGAGTTTTTTCAACTTCAATGTTAACATCTGAGTAAAATATTAGAAAATATTTATGTATGTACTATATGTCTATATATGTTATATTACTTATATAATTTATAATATGCATAACATATTTTAATGTAATACAATTAAACTAATTAAAACAATAAATACAAGATACTTATACTAAATACATAAATTATTACCAATATAATTAAAACTCTCAATTGTCTATTATGAAAATTTATTTATATTATTTATACATAAATATTTTTGAGGAAACAATTTACCATTAACATGTTGATTGCTTTCAAAATAATTCTTAATTTTTGCATTTGTTTTCAAAAGATGTTGTGTTTGTTGAAGTTTCTTTTTTCTCTTAGCCGCACCACTGGGAACTTTTGGATTATTCATAATAAAATATTTATGATAGAAATAATAAAGTAATTATGAGCTTTAAATTACGTAGATTACAATTATATGAAAGTATGTTACACAGTACACAATAATTTTTTTTACACTTTTTAAAGTAAAAAAATAACAGTAACATAAAGCATAATATTAGCTAATAGCTAAATATAATCAATATCGTCTGACTCGACTGAAAATCAGTGTATTACATCGACATGGACACACAGACATACAACGGTATAATTTGTAAGTGTGTGCGTGTCGTTATCGAGATATTGCATATAATAATCAACATTCAACAAATCTATTTATGTCACACTAGACTTAGTAATTTTTCCAATATTTAGATAAACAATTCCAAATAAAACAGACCTGGTTTTTACATTTTGTTTATTTGTTATGAAATGTACAAGATAATAATAAAATTATGAAGTCAAATCAAATTAAATCAATTAAAAAAAAAAATTTGACGGCTATCCACTATGGGCCCTTTGACTCGGTGGGCCCCAGTGCTCTGCACCACCTGCACCTATGATTTTTACGGCACTGGAGGCGGCATTAAACACCGTGGAGAATCGTACATGATGGAAGGGGAGCGCAGTGTATAGAGTCGGCGACTCGATTGGTACATGAGATAAGGTGCGACACAATAATTCGGTACGCGCTACAATAATTTAGTACGTGGTACAATAATTTGGACATACAATAATAATCGTGGTAGTGGTGATATTACGGGATCGCCACAATATTAAATTGTTATCACTCGAAATTTAAATCATATCATTGTTTGTTACTTATCTCTGATATGAATGTTTATAATAGTAAATAGCATTGATTATAGAATAGACAGATAGACAATGATATAGGGATTTTCGGTGACTAAAATTTTATTTATAATAGCTGCCAATAGGTAGCGTTGTATGAATTAATATTATATTATTAATACTGAGTACTGACTTCAAATAGTAACATATTCGTAGACCGGTTTTTGATAATGACAGAAAAAGCGATAAGCTTAGGCCCTCCGCACACGGTAAAACTGTTTTGCAACGAGAATCTCAAATCAGTTGCGCGAGCAACTGTTTGGCGATTTTGCTTGTCTAGCGTAATAGGAAACCGCACACTTGTCGACCAAAACCAAATCGGTTTGTAATCAGTTTCCAACTGGTCGCATGCAACTGTGCTTGCAGGTCGAATTTCGGTTTCAGTTGCGTGATTACATTGTAATAAATGATTAATTTATTACTTAGAATGTATTAAAATTATTATTTTATTATTATAATTATTATATAATACCTGAATATTATATTTTGATAAATTGATAATTCATTCACAATGAATGAGCAGTTGGCAAACATTAAATTTGTCGAGGAGGTAGAAAAACACGAACTTTTATATAATTATAATCTTTCCGGATACTCAAGAAAAGACCTGACAGAAAAAGCATGGCACGAGATAGCAGCCAAAGTAAACATGACAGGTATGTAAAAAATGTAATTAATATATGTACCTATATACACTTAATATACACGGAGTATATTAAAAACAAGTCTTTTAAAGAAGGGCCAAATAAACGAATGCAGTATTTAGAATAATATTTCAATATGAATTATTATGTTTCAGCTGTTCTAAAAATAATATTTCCCTATACGGATTGTATTTATCTTTATCCAAGCTATATTAATAATAAAGTGTCTAAAAATACCATCAAAAAAATAACATGATATACTAGCTGTTTATGTACTATTGTACTACATTGTACTTTGATTTTATTTATAAATTATAATTATAAGTATAATTACATAATAATAATATAATAATAATCATGTTGTCGTATCATAGCGTATCGTATTTCTTATTTCTGGTACAGTGTATTTCCATTGCCATGGTAGAGATGCACGAGAAGAAAGAAAATAATTAGATAAATAATTTCTAATAGTATTTGCTGAAGATCTTTCATTTATTGTTACCTGTCTTGGTATTATTGTGTCTATTCCTACTGCGGCTATTTCATGATCTTCTTGCGTGTCTGTGGGCCTATAGACGATACCCTCTCGTTTACGTACATAATTGTGTAGAATGCAAACCGCTTTAATAATGTCATTCACTGATTCTACTTTTCGACATCGTATGGGACCATTTAGTACTTGAAACTTTTCTGCCGCCATGCCAAAGGCGCATTCAATAGTTTTCCGTCCACGGCTTAACCTATAGTTGAATATTCTTTTAACATTGTCTAATGTCCTTTTGGAATAAGGCCTCAATAAATACTGCGATAACGGGAATGCTTCATCAGCTGCAAAGTAGTATGGAAATGGACTATTTGTCTCATCATATGTTAACGGGGAAGATGAAGGGATGTCGAAACCTCCGTGGGTAATCCAATACTTCATTGCACTAGCTTTAAAAATGCCTCCATCACTGTTTCTTCCCGCGTATCCCGATTCTATCATCGTGAATAATCCTTCTGCATCGCAGCATGCCATTAAAACGACAGAATGGTATGATTTATAGTTATAATTTTGTGAACCTGTGTTGGGAAATTTCTCTATTCGTACATGCTTCCCGTCCAGAGCTCCAATGCAGTTTGGGAGATTCCAAATTGACTCAAAACGATCGGCTATCAATTTCCAATGCTCTCTAGTTGGTACCGGCATATATATTTCATTTAACGTGTCCCAGATTATTTTAGTTGTTTCGTGCACAATAGTTCCAACTGTAGTTTCCCCTCTTGCAAAGTATAATGAAAGAGACACAAATGTACATCCTGTAGCCAAGTATCTGTTAAAATATAAGTGAATATTATTACATAATTTATTACCTATATGAAACTGTGCAAACTGTGTAGTCACTGTAAATACTCGTAATTTAGTTAGGCGACCGGAGTGAATACCTAACCAGTAACCACGGCCCTGCGGATCACACTGTCCTAAGGGACAGTGAGTCCCAGTGGTCGACAGTGGTCAAAAATCCTACTTACACTACTCATTTACGAGATTCACTCGATAGCTACTAAACAACACAACGAGTTCCTGTTTTTTTTTTATATTTATTATTTATTATTTTTATTACAATGATTTTAGCGTCCGAGTGTAAAGAAAAATGGCGTAATCTTCGTACTGTTTTTACACGGAAAATGAAAACTCCGGCAAGTGAGTCTGGTAGAAATAAAAAAGCATATTATTTAGCAGATGCCGTGCAGTTTTCTATCCCATTTATAAAAACGTTGGTTCCGCCGTCCACTGGTAATCTTCCGGAGAAACCGCAAGACGAAACGACTGATGAAACGATAGAAAATACAGAAATATGTTTTGGTCTGACAAACTCATCGTACTCAGATCAGTCTTCAGAACTACAACCGCCACCACTTCCAACATCACCAACGTTAGAAGCACCATTTCTATCACCTTCCGCATCACCAGCATCACCAGTACTATCGCAACAAATTAACCATCCTGAAGAACAGTTCTTGTCTAGAAATAAGAAAAACCTGAAGTTCAAAAATAAATCGGCAGTGGTAGCAGATAATTATGTGGCTGAATACTTTAAAGCTAAAAAGGCGAGATTGGAAGCAAATTTAGTTACTAATTCTTACAACAGTGAAAACAAAAAAGCTCTCAAGATGTTTTTATTAAGTTTGATACCTGAAGTTGAACATTTTAGTAAGGATCAGATTAAATTATTTAAACGAAAAATTTTCAGCGTTATAGATGAAATATCATCCCAATCATCGTCAACATTCTCGTCGCCATCTACTACTTCATTTCCGTCAACACACACTTCGCAGTCAACCACGTCGTATACATCTGGGAGTACACCATCAAATGCACTTGAGTATTACAGCAACTTTTCTGGGACAGTTGAAAAATACGATGAGGAGTGCGAGTCCAGTTTCACACCATTATAGTTATTTTAATAATCATTATTAATTTCTTAATTTAGTTATTTGTTGATATTATGTTATTATTACGATTAAAATATAAGAAATTCAGAACCTTATAATTCAATAAAGACTAATAACACTTACCTCAGAGTTATCAATATTCTTTCTTCGGCAGACACACATTCTCTCATATTTGTGTTCATTTTATGTATATTAGGAGTAACCAACTTTAACAATTCCCAGTATGAATCTTTTGACATTCTGTAGAACGCTATAAACTTGGTATCAGTTTGATTCAGTTGTTCTGCTGCTATAAACAGCCTGCATTTCATATTTTTCTCTATATATGGATGGGTCCAATATTCCCTTCGTACTAATTTTCGTTGTCTACGGTACTGATAGTAGTTGATTATATCATCTTCATCAGAACTACTCGACATATTGCAAAAGTTTAATGTTTAACTATAAAAAAACTTTGAAAAACTTTAAAAAACGCACGTTCTTTCCGAACATCAATTCGCATACAACTGCGTACACTGGTCGAAATTCGATCGAACTCGTGTGCGGAGTAATACATAAATTGATTGCAAACCAATTGCTCAACAATCGCTCACGTAACTGATTTGAGATTCTCGTTGCAAAACAGTTTTACCGTGTGCGGAGGGCCTTATAAATTACTTTATCGTAAATAAATGATATTTTCCGTGCATCGCACAATTATTATTATTATCGTATGGTATTATAGACAAGCATTACAACACAATAAAATTATTAACAAATAAACTTTGTAAAAATAGAACAAAATAATAAAATAAAATATAAAACATATAGTATAATATAATTAGTCAGCAATTATAGTAGCATGGTAACTTCTATGTGGTAGGGTGATTTTCTATAGGGGAATATCAAGTGATCTCAGCCAGGTTAGAGCTGCATTCGAAACGTTGTGG